TCTTTAATGTTAACTTTTAGGTATACATTACCTGTCCCAAGGTGAACTCCAAACAAATGTCTGAGGTGATGTCCCCATTCTCTACACTGATAACAAAAAGGAAAAACTTGTGGGGTTGTGTTTACATCAAAATACAAATACAAGTTTAAAAATAACTCAGCAACAACCCCACCAAAATTCCAACTAAAAGACATATCCTTAAAAGGGATAACAAATCCAAAAAATACTGGTGCATGGTGGCAGCAAAAGTAGCCAAATRACACCATTGTGCAAAACGATTTTACCTTTATTTCATAAATGTCAATGTTTTGCAGATCATTTTCATCATCAACATCATACACTGTTCTTCTCAATGTAAGAGCAATTTCCCTCCAATCAGTGAAAATCTTGAAAACAAAAATATTRATATTAATGCTAAAAATAAATTAATAAAAAATATATTATATACATTATATATTATATGCATTAATAAAAATATAAATGTAGATATAATTTACAAGCAAATTGTCAGAGGAGCAAAATTTAATATACACAAATAAAGGAGAGAACATTTTAGAATAACTAGAAAAATGTTGTATTTCCAGTGCAATTTAAGGTTCACATGAAACAAAAAATTAATCAGAAAATCACAAATTATTTAGCACCTTAAGAAATAACTTAATTTGTAGTTTGGCTGCATAGGCTGCAAAGATCTTGTCCTCATCCTCCTGATTTGCCCTCTTTTTCTTTTTCTTTGGCTCTCCGTTACTTTTTTCCCCCTTTGCTTGTGATGACAGCTCAACAAAAGTGGCTTCTACTTCTTCCTGTTCTTTTGCCCAATGTTGCAAACTATCTTGAAGGAACTTTGTAAATGCTGCAGAAACCATAATAMACTCAAAATACACTCAAAAAGGAACAACCAATGCAAATATCAGGGCTCCAAATAACGGCTAGACATACGCAGGTCAAGATGATCTTTCAAATACATTTTTGGATGGYGATTACCAATTTTTCTCAAAAGTATGGCCAGTCTTGACCTGCTGTTATTTCGAGCCCTGCTCTACCGAATGAACAATGATATAATATGAAGGAATAAACAGATGTGTATTGATAGACGTAATTTGAAGGCATGAGGGAGTGAGWAAATAGTGGGGCGAATGATTGAAAATAATGCATCCTAATAGAAAAGAAAAACATCACAGGTGATGGATAATTCTGATGCTTGCTGCTATCAATATAGCTAACRACATGTTTCTTTACAGGCAAACAGTTCCATTTGTGAAATTGTAAATACCTGGAGTCTCTTCAAGSTGAACCTCTTTTTGAACTTTTCCAAAGTCACGCTGAAAAGCTTCACTGCTCAGAATCTTCTGAATGTCCTAGTCAAATACAAACATATATGCATTAAATTGAAGAATTAGAAATATTGATATAGTTTATTGACACTGGCATCATATTTCATTTTTGGATACATAATATCAATTTAATAATGTTATGCCTCACCTGCTTTCTTTCTTCTGTGAATGTGATGTAATTTAGTACTATAGACTTGGAGACATCCCTGCATTCAGAAAAATAACCTGCAACCTTCTCAGTGGGTAGAGATTCTGTTACTATGTTCTCAGCATTATCCAGTAATTGCCTCTCTGTACATCCTACAGTGTTAAGTAAGAAAAAACAACATTATTTGTTGGCTATTCAAGCATTTATCTTCAATTGTAATATCAATTTCTGTTAAGTTGTGTCAAAATAAATGTATACACCTATTTCAAAAACCGTCCATATGTTCAAATTAAATTTGAACACAATAGTTTTGACATTTTGCATTAAATTGTGGGAATTAATCAATGCATTATAACTCATTTGCACCTGAAAATGAAGCAACCTTTATATTATGCCTTCCCACTGCAGTCTGTTGACCTGGTTTCTCCTTTACTTGAATTCGCGTTCTTCCACGGGTGTTCTCAGGCCCATATTGARAAAGGATGTTATTYAACTGGTCAAGAGTACCAACACGGTGTGAAAATAGTCCCAAGGAACCTAAAAGCTGCTCCATGTTCCTCATCTCACAGTGCAGGGAGCAGAGGTTGATGTTTGACAAATCCTCCTCCAAGAGGAACGTTAGATCGTCACGAACACCTGTGGGCCTTAAAAAAAAAGACCCATGTCAAGGCCAAATAAATTGTATTGTTTCAAATGTGCATAACATGCGAGAAGACGAAATAAGGTATCATTCAAATATACTCAACCTTGCAATATTGGCTTTTGATCTTAAACAATCAACACAAGCATGATTTGGAATTTCGCCATGATGTGTACAGGCCTAACAGATTTTAAAATATTGTATATCAACATAAAGCATTATGTGCATAAATGTTGCACTGCTATTGGACATTACCCTGACAGCATCACAAAAGACACAAAATTCCACACCATATCCTTTGCCTCCTAGAGTGAACGATTCATCGTCCTTTTTATGAATCAACAGCAGTAAAGCTTTATAATCAAGGGTAACTGAAAAATATCCATACATGCACAAAAAATGAGTTATAAATGATTAGCAAATTCCAACCACCATTAGCAATATTTATCTATGCATATATAAAGAGGCATCTGGAAATTTACACTTCAAATTTTTTGCTTATCTATTGCAATTGATAATCAAACTGTAGATATATTACTGTGGTTTTCCATTTTCTGCGAACTCAGACATTCGAATGGATAGTTGTGGAATGGATCTTTTAGCTGCTGCTAATCACAAACATAGGAGACACCGACTAATACATTTTGATTGGYAGCAGYGAAAAACCCATTTCACAACTAGACATTGGAATGTCTGAGTTGCAAAAAAATGGAAAACAGCAGTAAGGAGCTGTACACATTCCAATACCTGTGTACAATGCTATTATCTATAACTTAGACAAGAACCTGTAAACTTGAAATTGTATGATTTCCCATCCACACATAGTCCATGTTGTTTAAGCCAGTTCTTTTGCTTGTTCAGCATTCCTATTAACTGCTTCATGTTGCTCCTGTCTCAAGAAAAAATATGTTAATACCCAATACCCCAGTTTATAGTTGCCAAAGGCTAAGTTAACTTCCTGACAAAATATACAGTGATGCAGGCTTAATCTCATTCTCAATAAGCCCTGTGAGAGCAAAATTTATGCTTCTATCAGTTTTTACTGTTTATTTTAAATTTGCTTTTCATTCATTCACCTTTCTTCTTTGCAATTAGCAATTGCAACTGGATAGACCGAAAGTGCACTCTCTGGACTTTTCTTTGCAAAGTCAATGGGCACAATCCCTACAGCTATTTGATCTTTGCCTCCAAGGGGTCGTCCATCTATCTTGATATTGAACTCCATATGTGGGGTGTCAGCTCCATACAATCGCTGCTCTCTTATAGCCCAAATCAAAACAGAATTTAGGTCGACACCACATGATGGAAAGTCTGTTTCTAATTCTGTTATTTTCAATGTCGATTTTATGATGTTGAAAATCATCTTTTTTATGGCCTTAATCTGATTTTTTGTCAAGAGAACAGCATTGTCCAATGAATTCTATAAAGCAGATATGATCATAACTTCAATTAATTATTCTTTACATTTCAGTACAAATAAAATACAAGTTCAGCATACAAGCAACTTCTGAGTGATTCCATTTAAAATAAAATACCCTTGCAGCTGCTACTTTGGGGGGAAAATTTYGTATGACGGCACAAGTAGAAGCTGTGAGGGAGACTAAGGAACTGGTGTTTATTTACAGGAAAGGGGGSCTGGTGCATTTTGTGGTATTAAAATGAGTTTTTAACCTTATTGAAAAACAAAACGTAAAATCWTAATGTACTTACACCACTTCTTCCAAGGTGTGTTAGATTTAATAAAGTTTGCCATGCATCATCAGGTAGCTTTGTCTGCAATTTAAAGTACAAAAGCACCCAATCCGGAACTCGCATACTCTTTAACAGACGGTCATAGGTTTCTGGCAGGAATAATTCTCTCAGGCCTTTCTTTTCCCCAACTGCATCCATTATCATATCCACAACCTCTGATATGGTGCTACTTACAAAATACTTATCCTTCTCGTTCTCAGGCTTCTTATCATCATCACAACAAAAAATAAAACTGTTACCAAGAACAGATGATAATGTTTCATGGTACTTGAGGCTGACATCAGAAATATCAGCCATCACTCRCCGACACTGCTTCCTAATCCTGCGCTTTTTCGTAGTGGAACCTATWGTCAGATCTGCTTTTATGCTTTCTGTAGATTCACTTGCGTCACTTTGTGCAAAAGAACTTTCTGATGATGGATTGATAGATGGTGCAGAGGTGGATATGCGTGTAGGTGTAGAACATGACAGTGGATTGAAGATATTTTGGCTTGAAGGAGAAGAATCACTACTTGAAAAACTAATTTGAAAGTCCGAAGAAGGTCTGATTGGTGAAATTGTGGACATTGAAGGGCTAGTAGATGGACTGTTACTTGAGATTGAAGAACTGTGWGAGGCATTGGCGCCATTTTTTGGCGCCAATAATTCCTCTGATAAACTGATTCCATTCACTGCAGTTATCACAGAATTGAACTGGCTCGAATGAAGCAAGTCGATACTTGAGAGGTCTCGCTGTCTCAGCAGTCCTGAACACAGACCAAATCTGTTCTTGAACGGCAGTTGATTGTTTGTGGCTTTCAGCTTTCCCGCCGAAATGCTGACTACTTCATTGGGAGGTTGCGATTGCAGATTTCCTTCGTTAGGACGTACCAATTCTTTTGTGGGTCGAGGGATTCGCTTGTGACGCCACATATCGAACTACTAAGCGAGGCCATATTGGCCATATTAGCTCAATGAGCGTGGAATGCTGATCGGCGAATGAATTAACTCTCCAAATCATTGTTTATATCTTCGAACCTCCCGCTAAAACTGAAAGTGTGAACTATTAAAAAGTAACTTGTACAAGATGTCCGTACAAAGTAGAAAAATCGCCAGGGACCTCCACTGTGACCGATTAAGGACTGAGTACAATTGAATATGATGCAATATTCTGCCCCTGTCCCTCCCCCTGGYTCAACTGTTCAACTTAAGTATTGTGTGTCTCGGCAAAGCTGTCCAAAAACTGGGGGRAAAAACGAACACTTTTCATTTCAAGTTTGGGAACTATTACAATCTGTCTGTATTCATTGTGAATGTTACTTATCGATTTGCATGAAGTGAGGAAGGGTAGATGGTTGAAGTTGTACTGCGAGCTGTAGGTTGCTTTGTTCATGCATAGATAGCCGTTTATTGTTCAAGTTTTGTTTCGCAGTAAACTTCCAAACCCAAAGAAAGATTATATTTGTTGTGCTTCCTAGAAATTTAGCTTATAATTTAATCGTAATAYGTAATCTTTTGGCTCTGGCATGATCTCGCGTGGCAACTAAAAAATGCAAAATATGMGCTTCGAATACTGCTTTGTTTTACGCTTCGCTACGGAGCTTTTCCRTTCCCTGCCTCGAAACATGCTCAAGAAATTTACTCAAGATTTTTTTGATGCGAAACAAAGCCGTCATTTGTTTCTTGGCTGTTTAACTGCAGTTATGAAAAGGAAAGTAATCTGACCTTGCTAGGCCGGTATATCATAATTTGTTCGTTGACAAATGGTACTGACACACGTTAACACCTTAGAGTTTACTATAGCTAATCCAGTTAACGCCTAAAACAAACACACGCTGAGATTTTTTTTCCTGGGCTAAGCTTCTGATGTAGGAGCCAATCGTTTAGCGCCACGTCCTACCAAGCCTGGCAAGACTTTGTTTTTAGCAAACGTGAGGGCATTGGGGGCGACACGTTTGAGTTCCTGTTTTCCCCACTTGACGGCGTGTGGTGTTGCACGTTTGAGTTCTTGTTTTCCCCAAGCAGTTAACTGGTCTTTCAAAGGACCTCCACCACGTTGGCGGCGGCGACRGCGGTGACGGCTACAGCGAGGCATGATATATACTTAGTGTTACTTATTGCTAAGTGTGCTTTTTATAGTTTTTTTTAATCGTAGTCTTCTTCCATTTCGCTTTTTGTCGGGGGTCTTCTGTCGGGGTGATGAATGAGTAAGTGAAGAGTACCATCTAACCCATGTTTTTCAACAAGCATTTCAAAGATAGGTACGTTGGTGGGGAACCAAAGGAATCCACGCTGGCTACCAAAGTGTCTGATGAGAAGGGATGTTAGGTTGTCGACATACCCTGGGTTTTTGAGCATGAGACGAATGGCCTCCTTGTAAAAATGCCTCATGTAATCAATTTGATCTTTGACCTCAGGATCACTGTGAATGTAATCACACAACCACTTGTGACACTTGCATACGGGATCCGTAGTGCCAGAAGCGTGAAGAATGTCCAAGCTGGTTACGAAGTGTAGGAGGTACGGAAATTGGGGTAGCTTGAAAAAATATGAATCGGTCCTGAGCACTTCTCTAGGTTGAAGGCGGTAATAATTAAGACGGGCTTCTATGGTTACGGCAAGGTTGTGATGATATCCATCCTGGTAATGATAGGGTTCCATTATATTTGTTCCAATCCTTTTTTGACTCCATACCCGGCAGCAGCTCCAACGGCGCCTAGGGATGCAGCTTTTGCAGCAGCTATGGCAGCAGGAATTAAAGCCAGTAGAGGGAATAGCCCGCCTTTTTGATTTCTACTGCCACCAAGTTGTTTTTTCAGTTTTTGGAGTTTACGTACGCCTAGGTTTTGCAACGTTTTGAGTTGTTTCTTGACGCTCTTGGTGGAGGGAATGCCACCTCCTCTTTGTGCACCGTAACGTTTAATGGAATAGCGCGTGCGTCTGCCGCCTGATTGCGTACCGTAGCGTTTTATGGCTTGACGTTGACGGGTAGTCCCGCCTACTTGTTTACGTGGCATGATTGGATTGGTTGCGAAAAAGTATGAAGGTGAGTGTTGGAATTAGGTTGGCTTTATACCTTTCGAGATGGGATCAACTAAGGACAATCAGTCGAGCAACAAAGGGAGAGACGAGAGTGGAAAGTTTGTGTTTGTGGATGCTGAGGATGTGTTCATATGGGATGGTAAAAGATGCGAAGACAAGGTGAAGGAACAGGACATATGTTTGACGCAGTTGGATGATTTGGTATGGCACTTGAGTTTGATGGAAGATCAGTTTATCAACAAGGTGCAAGGACGGTTGGAATGCTTTAATCATTCAGAAAGATTCATGCTGTTTCAACACTACAAAGATACCTTTAGACGTATGTCTTCCTTCAAGACATACCTGGTAGAATTTTCTACTTTGATGCAGCAAGCCAGCGTGGACAAAAGAGAACAAGATCAGTTGCGAGAGGAGATAACTTTGATCGACATGGAGGGTACAGATGAAGTGGATGGCTCGTGGGCCAATCTATCCTCTGACTGTGTCCGCCCAAGTTTGTTATAAAAGGATAGACAAAAAAACGTAGACGTTAGTTCGTATTCACAATGGTCATTAGCAAGTTAAAGAAGAAGGTTGGCRGTTTTAAAGGCGCCATGAAAAAAAAGATGGTTAATTATGTAGGCGGGAAAATTTCCAAAAATGTGGGAAAATTAATAGACAAGAAAGTTAAGAATACCAAATTGCGCGGGCTGTTGAAGAATCAATTAAATGCGGCGGCCCCTTACGTAACGAATATGGTACTGGGAGGTCAAGGTGGTGGACGTCGTAGACGTAAAAGGAGAAGACGCGTACAAGAAGGAGGCATTGTAGCATCGTATCCGTACATGGGCAGGCGTCACTACCCTAACAATTTTCCAGAATGGCGTTAAGTTTTGCTTACGTCATTTTAATGCTGATAGCGGATTGGCGTTCACATAAACACGTGAGAGGGGAGGGGCCTACAAATTTAGAATACGCAGTGGCAGGAGCACTTCTTTCGAAGCAAACGGTGAACAACGAGCATCGACGCGCTGCTGCAGGAGCTTGTGATTTGTGTGGTTAACAAGAAGAAGAACAGAAAAAAACAAAGATGGCGCGCGTAATTTTGGAACTGATGGGATCGTTAAGACACATGCTAGATTGTGAGGTGCTTAAACACAGAGATGTGATTATGGACCTGGTGGCTTCCGTGGAACGAGAAAGTGTTACTAAGGAAATCTCCAAGGAAAACACATGCATCATAAAAGACGTAAGAGAGAAGGTGGGGAGCTTGATTTCAGCCATGACAACCACCACACGTCAAGGACGTAGACCTGAAGACATTTGCTGGAAGAGGTAATCGATGAAAAACAAGGAGGAGTATGTGACGCTGCCATAGAAGTCATGAAACAAGTGGAAGGTGCTAGAAATGAAGTAAAGGAAAGCTCTGAGGAACTGAAGAAAGAAAAAAAGAGGAGTCGCAAGCGAAAGGCTAAGGTGCCGGTGGACCGCCTTGCAGACACACCCCCACCACCCAAGCAAGTASAAGTACAAGTAGATGATGACATCCGTGATTTTTTGAAGTCGTTAGGACAGACAGAAATAAGTAGTCAGATGATTGAAGCTGTAAAACATTAAAGTAAGAACAACGACAATAAAGCATGTTTATGTAGTTAAAAACATCGTTCATTTATTGTACTATTTCTTTACTACAATTGGACTGACAGGCTTGACCTATACGTCCTACCTTGTCCTTAAACTTACGGCGCAAAGGCCTGGGTACCATAACCTTACATAGAAAGCGACAAACGGTTTTGTCGTTTTTTCGGGTGGGGTGATCAAGGAAAGGTTTTACAAATTTGGAAAAGGAACCGCCACGGGTTCGGATATACAAATAGGAAAGGCAATAGTGTCCACACACAAAGGTGTCAAACGATTGAAGGCGAGGCATTTTCACAACATCCACCATGTCGATGATTTTAATTACGTGGGGTTCTGTGTAGTTTGCCAAATTGTCAGATCCGTACGAGTCCATAATTTCCACACRCCCGTAATTGGCAAACAACGCTATCCAATGTTGCCCAGGTTTGGATATGGGATCAGTGTTAAAAATCATTCCCCAGGGTTCTTCAGGTTTGCTGTCGAGGTGGGACTGGTACTTGGTGAGAAGCTTTAAGGCTTGATCAGAGGCTTGAGTTCCCACGTAGGTGTAGGTGGGATGATTGTGGTAATTGGGAGGGTACTGGGCGACCACGTCAATGGAGTGAGTAGTAAGTTGACCTTGGCGATTCATTTTTTCTTAGTAATTGTACTTGAGAGCAACGTTTTTATTACCATCAATCCAAGCTTCTTGTTCAAAGTATCCAGCCAAGAGCATAGTAGTACTGTCCGCTGTAGCCGGGTCGAAGTCCACGTCAATGTTGATGTTACCTGTTACTCTGGAGTAGTTATAGCCAAAATTTTGTTCACCATCAGGGTTGAGATTAAACAGCAGCAAGTAATTACCATCTTTATAATCTTGTCGGTTAAGACCAATGTCGGCTGATTCTACACCTTGTCCTGAAAACTGCATCCATGTATTGTAACCTTCGTCCTTTAGATCAGAACGAAGATCAATTCTTTGGTAGGGGGTTTCTTGTCCATCCACAGTTACCTTGACAAAAGATTGGTGCATGTCTGTGAAGTTGAAGGGGTTTCGTGTGTAACTGCCATTGTAAGCATCACCACGAAGAAAGCCTAGAGCCATGTAGTTAGGTCGATAACCATTAAATGGATTGCTCATGCGATAGTAAAAACGTCCATTGGGAATGGTTTCAGTCACGACGCACCAGGACATGTGAGGGTAAATGGCCACGTTCTGTTTGGTTAACATTTCCCCTTCCATTTGAATGTGCAGGTCGGAGTTTGCCACCATGTGACGAATCCATAGTCTGGGGGAATACTCCCTTTTCGAATTCTCGACGTCCATTTTGAAGACCGCTGAGCAATGCTTACAGGCGCAGTCAATTGACGTCGAAACGAGGCTAATACAGCGTAATGCTTATAGCAATACAAAATAACAGTGC